TCCTCCTGCAGGTCTAGGTTGGCTCAGGTGTGATGGCTGAAGGTTTTGTCCTCCTGCAACTGAAATCAAATGGAATTGATGGGGTGGAGTGCTCAGGGGAGAGTCCTGGGCTGTTTCCCACGCTGGGTTTAGAGCCTGGAGGGGATCAGACTCTCACACTTGTTTCAATTCTTCTTGCAGGCCTTTAATTCTGAGACAGATAACTTCAAGCTGGCATATGGAGGGCACCAGTACCACGCCAGCTGTGCCAACTTCTGGATCAACTGTGTGGAGCCCAAACCCCCAGGTCTCATCCTGCCAGACCTGCTCTGAGAGCAGCTGCACTGCAGGTGGAGCTTTGGGTCTCACCATGCAGGACCTGGGGTAACTGCTCCGTGGAGAGGCTGCAGCTGGGCCAGGTTTGAAACCTTTGGGCTTGATTTTTGGTCCAAAAATCAATGGATTAAAGCCACTGTTACAGATGGTGAAGAATTCACTTGTAATGGCCAAGGTTTCAGGAATAACTGGATAATATGTAGTATGGCAAAAAAAGGGAAAAAAAAAAAAGTGGCATTTCAGTCTTTGTGAAGATGAAAACGTTATCCTGTGCAAAAGCAGCTGTAACCATGTGCATGGGAGAGGCCAGCATGGAACTTCCCAGAGAGCCTGGAATGCTGGGCTCATTTGCACAGAAACAACCACTGAAATACTTGAAGTCTGTATTTGCAAGCAAATCTTTTCCCTAACGTTTTTGGGACACAGACCTTGATGTTCTTTAAGTATTTGCTGCTGTGATATCACAGCCCATGAGTCACAGCAGCATCCAGGCAGAATGAATTATTGACTCAGAAGGAGAAGCTGCTGGGTGTTTGTGCTTCCAGTGCTCTGTGGTGGAAGTTGTGCTGGATGCAGAACTGGTTAGTGCTGGAAGGTGAGCACTGGAAAACTGCTGTCATTTTCCCTGTGCTGTGTGGATTCTGTAGTGCAGGCAGCTGGAGTTTAAAACTCACAGTCTTTGTTGTAAATACAGATAAACTTCCCTGGATTTGTCCTGAGCTCCAGGCTGGGTTTTGTCTCTCCTGACCTTTTGGGAGCTGTGTGGCTGCAGCACTGCTGGAAGCTGGACTCTGCTGAGGCAGCACATCTGCTGCTGTGGAGATTCTTTCCCTTTTTTGGCTGTGGAGATGCTGTTGCTGATGATGGGATGGCTGTGTGTGACTCCTGCAGTCTGCTGCTACCTGTAGCAACGTGTTCCTGTGACTCAGAGCTGGCAGCACAAGGTGGCCCCTGGCTGCTGCAGCAGGGAGTGGGATCTAACACCCAGAGGGAATTAACCCTGGGATTTGGTGGTCTCAGCAAGCTGTGTTTGAAGCAGGCATTGTGTCACTGCTGGTTTGTGGCTTTTGCAGGTGCCTCTCTGGACAGGTTTGTGTCACAGACTCTCACTAAATGTTACCTGTACATCTAAAGTACCTGGGTCCTCCTTCAGATCCAGTATCCAGAGGACAGTGCAGGCAGTGGAGTGCTGGTTACAGGATTTTAACCCTGGGGGAGCTTCATGGTGTTACAAGAGACACCCCACAACCCTGTCTAGGGCTGCAGGGAACGAGGTGGGCTGTAAATCCACAGGGCACTACTTTCTGCTTAATTCTTTGGCTTAGTCTCTCAGATCTGTTCCTTTCCTCCAGAGAGCTCAACAGCTTCTCCAAGTTAATCCTGCCCCCATTACAAGTACCTGACACTGACCTGTGGTTATTTGCTGAAACAGAAATTACAATGAGGAAAACGATGCTTTGTATTTAAAAAACAAACAGGCTTAGTTGTACGAAACTATTAATTAGCCCAAATGAAAGAATCTTGGCTCAGAGGTGTCTGGCTCCTTCCTTACACCAATTACAATAAATCTCCTTGCTGCCTCAAATTAGCTCATTCATGAAATAAAGCACCGTGTGCCTGCAGCTCCAGCTGATCCAGAGGCAGATTTCCCGTGCTGTGCTTCCCACATCCTGCCCAGCAATTACCAAAAAAGCAGGGAAACAACTCCTTGCTTCTCTCCCTTTCATTTTTTGGAGCTCCAGCACCACAGCTTGTTTTCCAGCACAGTGAGGCTGCTGTGCCCCTCACCAGAGTTCCCACAGGAGTTTGGGGACAGGGAGCCACTGGCAGGTGTTCTCCAGTGGATGGGAGAGGCTGGGAATGCTGTGTTGGGAAAAAGGATTTTACTGTCAGCCACCACAGCTCCCCAACACTTTGCTAGAGAGGAATTTTTTCCCCTTAATTGAATGAAAATGCCACAAATCAGAGGCCATGGTGTGAAATGTGAAGCAGCAGCTGCGTTGTCACAGGAGCATCTTCCATGCTGGTTTCTCTGTACCTGTTACCAGCTCAGCCCCTCTCTGAGCTGCAGCCAACGTGTCTTGTGGCCCATAAAAAAAGGGAATGGACATTTACAATTCCATCTGCAGCAGAGCTCACTGAAGGGTGACACTGCTGCTCTCCTGCTCCCAGGCACCATCCCTGTCCTCGTGGGGCAGGGAGGGCTCTGCTGCCAGCAGCTTCAGCCAGGGGAGCACAGGGAGGCTTTGCATGGAGATCCCCTGGGTGAAGGCAGTGCCCAGGAAGGATCAGCTGCAGATCCCAGTCATTCCAATGACTCACTGGAGCATTCAGCATCCTCGGATGTTGTTGCCAGCCAAAGCCCAGTGTCCTTCCAAGCTGTATCCAAGGTGACAGGATTGTCACAGCCCACCTTCCCCCGCTGCCTCTGCTGCAGGACACGCTGCCTTCCCTTTGCTTGGGTCCAATTTCAGACCTGTAACTCCTTTTCCTGCATGGATTCTCTCACTGGAAAAGAGAAACGAGATTTTCTTTGTTTTTTTAGGTAGATACAAGGGGCTGCCTTGGCGTGACCCGTGGTGAGTGGGGTTTGTCTCTTTGTGTACAGTGGCAGTTCTGAGGAATGATTTGCTCAGTTATTTAATGTATTTATGGCTTAACCCCGTGGTGTTCCTGGTGCTCCCCTGCCCTGGCAGCTTCCCCCTGCTGCTGGGGGCTGCTCCAGCCTCTGCCCTGCTCCTCCCTCCTGGTGTTTGGCTGAGTCCCTGCAGCCCCCGGAGGTCACCCTGGCATTGTCACCCCCGGAGGTCACTGTGCCCTGGCATTGTCACCCCTGGAGGTCACTGTGCCCTGGCATTGTCACCCCCGGAGGTCACCCTGGCATTGTCACCCCCGGAGGTCACTGTGCCCTGGCATTGTCACCCCCGGAGGTCACCCTGGCATTGTCACCCCCGGAGGTCACCCTGGCATTGTCACCCCCGGAGGTCACTGTGCCCTGGCATTGTCACCCCCGGAGGTCACCCTGGCATTGTCACCCCCGGAGGTCACTGTGCCCTGGCATTGTCACCCCTGGAGGTCACCCTGGCATTGTCACCTCCTGTGCTCACCATTCATCCCAAGGACTTTTCCTGCCTGGCAGCAGCTCCTCCTGGCTGGGTTTGGTGGGAGCAGCTCCTGCCCTGAGCTCCCTCCTGGGCTGAGGTGAAGTTCAGCCCCAGGCTGAGCAGGAGCTCGTGGGCACCCATGGAGTCCTGTCAGCTGAGTGGGAATCACAGACTTGAAACAAAACCTGTCTTTCCAATGAAAGCTGCTATTGTACAAACTGCTGCTTTGGATTTACTTTTAATTCTGCACCTGTATTTAATTCCAGTTCTCAATGTTAAAATGGGAATGTCATAGTTTTGTGAAGAAGAGCAATCAGAAGACTTCTCTTTCTATTGTGATTCTTCTCCTGCCCTCTGGGCAAATGTTATTTTTCTTCCAGAAGTGGTTTTGTGATTATTAGTTGGAGCTGTTTGGGTTTGTGCTGTGCTGGAGTTGCTGCTGATATTTTAGATCCAGTGAGAATAAGTGTTATTAATTGACTTTAGTACCTTGTTTACTCCCTTAATTCCTGCAATGATTTATAAATCCTGTGTTGAGATTCAAACCTGGTGTTCAATAAAAAGCTTGTTTCATATCTGACCAGCCTGGGAAGCTGAAATATTTATATCATAATGTAAGTGAAACCTCCCTCTGCCTGGGATGGGGAAGGTGTCTCACCAAATACTGGAAGGTATAAAATATTTTTCAGATAATTTGGACACCATTTGGAAAAGCCTGTGGGGAGCAGGAGAAGGGGTGTTCCCCTCAAAGCCAGTGGGTGTGCTCAGAGCAATCCAAGCTAAACCAGAGCTCTTTTTTCTTTGGTTTCTGTAGATTTGAGAATGGAGAAAAACCTGGATTTTGAGGGGGAAAACACTTGTGTAAAATCTTCTGCTCTAGTGAATACAGGAGGAGCTTTTGCAGTGAAATCCCCACAAGCACTAAGACTGCAATATAACTTTGAATGGGGATTTCAGGTGAATTCTTTGTTTCCTCTTGTGTTTTATGAGGCAATTTCACTTTTCATAGGTCTAACTTTGCCTTGTGTTTAAAGCCAGCCTTTGGTGCCTTCTTGGCTGAACATCAGCATCTCCCTCTCCCCTTGGTCCTCGGGCAGTGTGTGCATAAAATCTAAAGAATAATTCAAAGTGGAGAATTTTTAACCTTCCATTTTTTTATACCAGAAATGCTGCTAAACCCTGCTTTGCCCATTTTTAGGTAAAGTTTAATTTTGTGAGCAGATTTCAGTTTTTAGCATTTTTTCCCCTTTAAAATGTCATGTGTTGGAACGTCTCCAAAGCAATGATTAATCTTGATTTTCACTCTCTAGTTCCTCGCTTACCATTTCCCTGGCTGAAGTTTAACTCCTGATAAATTTGGGAGCTGAGTCTCTGTGTCTGCCTGCCACTGGAACTGGGATGCAGCCATGGAACCTGAGCTGGGAGCAGCTGATGGCAAACCTCACCTTCATTTCACTGGGGCAAAACTCACGGGGAAAAGCAGAAAACATCCTCCAGCCACAACTGTTTAAAGGCACTGCTGGGCCTCAGGCTGCTGCTGGAGCTCCACTAGCACAGTTTGGAACAGGAAACCAACACATGTTCTGGTTTAATCTTTATTGATTTTTTTTTTTTACAAGTATAGAATCTCATTTAAATCAGACAGCGATCGCAGCACTCTGCCTGCTCCTCCTCCAGAGGCAACAGAAACTCTGGTGCCTTCTCAGGGCTCCAGTCACACTCCAAGGAACCATCCCTGCCCCTGGAGCCACGGGAAGGCTTCTCCAGGGAAGGGCTGGGGCTGGAGTCGCTCCTGGCACACTCCAAGCAAGGCCAGGCCTCTGTCACCACCCTGGGGACAGAGAGGAGCAGCCCTGGAATGCAGCATAACCTTGAGGACGGAATGGAGAGAGGCAGGAATGGGCTAAGGCAGGTCCCGAGGGGAGCTGGAGCTGAGGAACCCGGGGGGATTCACCCTTCCCCGGGGGATTCAGCCTTCCCCGGGCAGGGCGTTCACCCTTCCCCGGGGGGTTCAGCCTTCCCCGGGGGGTTCAGCCCTCCCGGGGGGGTTCAGCCCTCCCAGGCTGGGCTGCCTGCAGGGATGCTGCTCACCCAGCCCAGCCCAGCCCGGGCAGGGGCCACGCACACATTCCTGAGCGTCTCTTTGGCTGCCCAGCGGCTTCAACCCCCTCGCTTCTGGACAAGATCTGTCAGCTTTCCACCCACAAAACACACCAGCATTTTCCAGCAGTTGAAGTGTATTCCAGGACTATTGCCCTGGCATGGAATGAGTGAAAAAGGATCTTGTATTTATTTGATTTGAATTGCTCAATTTTTATTTTACTTGTGGCCGACACGGACTGATTCAATCTTTTTGTTTGTTTGTTCGTTTTTTCCCTTTTTTCCCCCCTAACTTTGAATACGATTAAGAGCTGACTAAAGATCTCAAACACTATATACTGAGAGTCACTATGAATGTTAAAGAAAACACCAGCACCACAGCCCCTGTATTCCTGCCTCCCTGGTGCTTGGAAAACCTGCTGCTGTGGAGCAGGGCCTCGCCAGTGCTGCTCCTGAGCCACTACAGGGTTTTGCAAGGAAGCAAACAAGCTATAACAAAATATCCAGGCTACTACTGCAGCACAAAGCACGCCTGGGCCATCCACTCTGCCCAACGCCTCTTAGGCCCTTCCTCGCAGGATCCTAATAAACTGACTAAAAAAAGGAAAAATAGACGTAGGCTTTATGGAAGGAATAAACTTATAATGAGACCTGGTTTTGCTAAATCAGAGATGCAGATGGGAAATCCCCATAGAGAAAAATGCTTTGAAGGGAATCGTTGGCCTTGCAGGTTAGTGAGGTGAGAATTGAGGTTCTGCTGTATGGTGGAGAACCAAAGTTGGCTGTAGAAGGAGAAGGGAACATCTCCAGTCTGGTGGACTCGAAACAGCGCGTCCCTTCCGTCGTGCTTCCCCTCTGCAGTCCCATTAAATTCCCCAGTAAGGCATCAGGGGTCTCCTCTCTCTCTCGTAAACGTCTGGGATGATGCCATAGGGCGTCTGTACCATTTTAACCGTGGTCTTCCCAAAGAGCTTCCTCTCGTAGTCTATCAGCTGCCTCCAGAAGCCCACGTTGGGCCGGATCACGGGGCGCCGCGACTTGACCCAGTTGTAGGCCTCGAAGAGGGAGACCTTGTGGTACTTCATGAGGAAGGCGATGCAGAGCGTGGCCGACCTGCTGACGCCGGCGGCGCAGTGCACCAGCGCGGCGCCGTGCTTCCGCGCCACGCTGTGGATCTTGTCGGCCACGCTGTCGAAGTACAGCGAGATGGGGGCGTTGGGCATGTCAGCCAAAGGCACTTTGACGTACTCAAACTGCGGCCAGTTGAAGTTGGGGATCTCGATGGTGGCGTTGATGATGCAGGTGATGCCCCGGGACAGCAGCAGGTGCCGGTTGGAGGCGACGCTGCCCCGGCTCAGGTACAGCGAGGGCGTGATCTGGGCGATGCCCCCCAGGGCACCTTCGGAGAGCATTCGCGGAGCCATCAGAGTTCTCGGCAGGGAGTTGTGGCTTCTGGAGGTCATGGAGGATCCTGGCACTCAGGCTTCCATTATGGGAAGAGAGCCAAGGGGATCTGCAGCCAAGGGAGGGATTGTCTGGCCTGGTGGCGGCAGGACAGCGAGAGCTCCCGCTGCTGAGTCACTGCAAAACACAAGTGAGGCCACGTGAGCGGGGAGCTGTCCCTCACCTGTGTCTGTGCCAGGGAACAGGAAAGCCCAGCTCGCCCTGCTGTGGCCTGGCAAAGCTCCGTGGGGAATGTGGGGCTGGGCTCACAGTGCTCATTACTGCTGTCCCCCAGGCACTGCCTGGACAGATAGTAACAAAAAAAATCTTCAGCCTAATTAACTCCGATTACTGGCCAAGGGTTTACCTGTGGGGCTGGACAGCATCTCACCCGGAGCAGCACGTGGAAGATGAGCTACACCTTTTCCATGCTTAAACACAGCAGCTTCACAGCTGGCCACAGTTCAAAGGGATGGTGAGGAACAGCAGATGCCAGCAATTTCCAGCACGCTGCCCTCTCCCCAGTGCCACCCTTCTCCTTTTTAGGTGTAGGAAAGGCCCCGCCAAAGCACATAAACAGAGGAAAGTCACTCATTAGGAAAGGCGGTGAGTCACGTCCAGCCCCATCAGTCATCGGCTCTCACGGAGGCAGGGCAAGTGTGGAAAGAGTGACCTGGTTATGTCAGAAGCTGGGAGGAAAACCCAAGAGCTGAGGCTGGGACAGGGGAGGCTCTTGTCCTGCTTTAATGCCTGACTGATGCTTGGCAGAGGCCTGGGATCACCTCCGAGAGCCACACGGGCCTGGAGGGTCCCTGCTCTGACTCCCCCTGCTCCTTTGGGGCACCTCCAAAGCCAGGGAGAAGCTACAGGCAAGGGGATGAGCCCTGGAGTATCAATAATTTGTCAGTTTGTGTGTTCTCTGTTTGGAGAAGGGCACAGAAAGGCTCCAGTCTGTGCAGGCTGGGGAGTCCCTGCCCAGGTACCTCTGAGCCCACCCTGGTGGCACTGGCAGAGCTGAGGGGACTTGGGATGCTCAGGGCCTTGGGGAGAAGGATCTGTCCCTCCAGAATTCCTAATTATGTTAAGAGGGTCCTTTAAAGGTCTGTGGCTTCCCCTGCCCTCAGCTGTGTGCCCTCTTGTCATGCTCTGGGAAGCACCAGCAGGTCCCAGCATGGCTGGTGGTGCTGCCAGTGGATTTTTGGCTCTGTGGCAGAGAAACTTAATGAGCACAGCGTGGCCTCCTCCGTGGCTCTTCCCTGCTGGCAGCTACTTGAGCAGCTCCTGAAGCTGTGGACCTAAACCTGTAAAAGTTCCTACCCCAACAAGGTTTTTGCTGCAGCTACGAGTGCTCAGCTTCCACCCAGCTGGAGCAGCAAGGAAAGGTGTGTTTTTTTCAGAGGAATAAAGTTCTTTGAGCAGGGGAAATCCCTGCTCTCAAGCAGCTCTTACTGACAATGCAAAGGATTTGGGCACTTACCCTTGGTCACAAAGTCCTGCTCTAAGTCACGGAGTGGCACCGCGTGCCCTGGGCTGCTGGGGCTGGGACGGCTCAGGGAGCGTGTCCAACGCTGAGCTGGGGAGACAAAAGAGCATGGATTGTACTGGGATCTGTGCTGGACACCAGTCAGGGAGGTGTCCAGGAACTGGGAGGGAGGACCACGGCTTCCCCACAGAGAGACTGAGGACTCAGGGTGGCACTTGCTGCCAAATGTCACCAATTCCTGCCAACACGGCACTCAAATCACGGTGAGCCCACAGGAATCTGAGGCTGGCACAGAAGTCGTGGCTCAAAAATAATTAAGTCATTTAAGTAATTAATTTACCCTAATGTCTTCTTTAGTATCCACCCAAGCCCAGACAGCTGGGGCAGGTCTGTGTCCTTCTGATGGTGCCCAAGCCACCCACTGGGGACCCCCTGTTCCCCATTCCTGCGAATGGGAAGGGGCAGAGCTGATGCCAGAAGCACAGCACCGTGCTCCCAAAAAGCTGAGGATGGGGCCAACACCCCCTTCCTTTCCCAGACCCCCCTCAGAGTGGAGGTGAATCACCTGGGAAATGCTGCTGGATGAGAGCAGTGCTGTCCTGAACCAGCTCTGAGCAAGGCAGAGCCTCCAGCTGCTCCCGGGGCAGCTGGAGCAGTTTGGGAAGGGCTCTGCTGCTTTCCATAAAGTGGTTCCTGTTTGCAGGCAGGAACTTATCCAGGGATTTGCATGTGACAGGCTGGGCTCGCTCTGCAAACTGGGGCTGCCGTGCCAGCGGCAAACACCTGCTCATCCCATCCCATCCCATCCCATCCCATCCCATCCCATCCCATCCCATCCCAGGTGGCTCCAAGCCCCATCCAGCCTGTCCCTGGACACCTCCAGGGACGCAGGGGCAGCCACAGCTGCTCCATCCAACCTGTTCCATCCCAGGCACACACACAAAGCATCCCCGGGGCTCGGCATGGCCGACACAGCTCCCCCCCGAACCAGAGCAGCTCTCAGCCAGAAGGAGGGAATATCTTGAGGAGAACCTCATAATTCCAGCGAGGGATAAGGCTGCTGTGCCCACAGCCCAGGTGCCCGGGGCTGGGACAGCCCTTAGGCAGCGGGGCGGGCGCCGTGTCCCCTGGGTGCTGTGCCCGCAGCGGGAGCTGGCTGGGATGGCACCGGCTGCGACTGCTGGCTCAGGCATGTGACAGAGCCACGCTGCTGCCCACACACACCGGGCTGAGCAGCTGCTGGGAGCTGCGAAGGGAAGGGGCTCGTCTGCCTGGGCTGGCAGCAGCTCTGGCTCCTGCAGGCTCGCAGGTGTGAGCTTTCATCCGTGCCCAGCCGTGCATCCCTCCTGCCCGGCTCCAAGTGCCCTGCTTTGCTGCCTGAGAGTCCCAGGTGAGAGCCTTCTTCCGTGCCCAGCCCTGCATCCCTCCTGCTCGGCCCCAAGTGCCCTGCTTTGCTGCCTGAGAGTCCCAGGTGAGAGCCTTCTTCCGTGCCCAGCCCTGCATCCCTCCTGCTCGGCCCCAAGTGCCCTGCTTTGCTGCCTGAGAGTCCCAGGTGAGAGCCTTCTTCCGTGCCCAGCCCTGCATCCCTCCTGCCCGGCTCAAAGTGCCCTGCTTTGCTCCCGTGAGAATCCCAGGTGAGAGCCTTCTTCCGTGCCCAGCCCTGCATCCCTCCTGCCCGGCCCTGCTTTGCTCCCGTGAGAGTCCCCCTGCCTTTCCCAGCACACCCGCCTTATCCCACCGCATCCCGCTGTAATCCAACACTGTTGCTTTTCACGCAGCCATTCCCCTCATTGTGCTGGGGCAGAGAAAGAGAAAAGGAATGAAAAGCCTCCTCCCAGCCGAGGCTGAGTGCAGAACAAAAAAGGAGAAAATCGCTGAAGATGGAACAAAGCACTCACACAGCCCGGCGTGGCTGTGCCTGGGAAGGCTGATGGCACAAGAGGCTCCTGGCAGGGCACAGGGAGGGGCACCGGTGCCCCTTCAGCCTCTGCATGCCAGGAACAGCCAGGGTGCCCCACCTCATGGAAATAAAAACCCCACCTCTTCTCCCACTGCTCCTTGGCTGGGGTTTCTGAGTGCTGGCATAGGCTGGGGAGTCACAGCAGCCCAAAGCTGGTGCCCCAGGGTGCTGGAGCCTGTCCGAGGGCTGCATCCAGAACCGTCCCTAAAGCAGCACTGGAAGTGCCCTCCAAAGGAGCTGGAATGTCACTGGGCTTTCCTGCAAAGGCCTGACATCCCCAGGGGTGCAGATGGCCCTTCAGGAGAACAGTGGGCCGGCAGCATCCAGGTGTTCCTGCCATCACATCCTCCTTTTCTGGGCTGACTCCAGTTAATGAATTAATTAATCTTGCAGCAGCCCTGACCCAAAGGAAATCCCTTTCCAGACTGTGACTTGGTCTTGCCTACGTGCAGATCCCAGACAGTGCCCAGAGGAAGGGCTGGGACCCTGGGGTGGCAGGGGGTCCCTGGGGTGGCAGGGGGACCCTGCTGCAGCAGGGGCAGGACTGCAGCAGCCTCCTCCCTCCCCGGCAGACTGGTGGGTTCTGCCATTTCCCTCCTCTGCATAATCAGGGGTGGGAGAAGCCAGTGGCTAATTACAGCCTGGAGAACACTCTGCTCTTCAAAGCCTCCAGGTCCTTTCCCAGCGCTCCTGGCCAGCACCATCCTCAGGTTTATGGTGAGGGGACACTTCTCCAGCCCCCATCCACCTGGATCTCATCCTGCACCCAGCAGCTCTGCAGCTCTCAGGTCTCTCCTGCTGCACCTCCAGGCTGAGCTTCGTGCCTCCCTGGTGTCAGGAGGAGGGGCAGGTGCCTAGCCCTGTAGCTGCTCCCATGGAAGGCTGGCTGTATCCCACCTGGGCTGGATCTCCTGGCCCCAGAGCAGCTCCTTTCCAGGTAAGAGGAATTCCAAAGCAATGCAGCAATCCCGATGCCGTGCTTGGTGCTTTGGTGGTGCAGCCCCTTGGAAAGGTTGCTGCTGGCAATGCTCGTGGCTCTGCTCTTCCAAATCTTGCAACAGCTGGAGTTTGTTTCTCTTGCTTTCATTCCTGGGAACGCAGTCCTGTTAACAAAGGCTGAAATTCCCACGGGAAAGCATTGCTGGTTCCTGGACCTCCTGAGAAAGACTTGAAAACACCTCTGGAAGCTCAAATGACAAACAGGGTGAGTTTGTGAGTTGAGTGCTGTGATCTCCAGGACAGGAAGGAGAACTGGTCGGGCTCTAGACAATGAGTTGGCAAGTCTGAGCTTCTGCCTTCTTATTCTGGTGCTGCCGGGTGGTTTGCTCTGATTTTTAAGGGGTTTTTTTGTTTGTTTTTTAATGCAGCTCCTCTGTCTTGAGAGCTGAGGCTGTGGCTTGTCCCTGGGGCACTTGAGTTTCTGTTGGGCTGTGTGGCAGGAACACAAGCATGGGGCTGGTACCTGGACAGGTGAGAGCTCCCCTCTCCCCCTCTGGAGCTCGGGCTTAGTGCAGGGTGGGCCCTGCTCTGCCCAGGGAACAGAGACACTGAAGGCCCTGGTTTAATTCCCAGATCATCATCTGGGATTTGAAGCAGGTTTGTGGGCTGGGTGTGCAAAATGTCAGTACTGAGGCAAGGCTTCTCCCCCCTCCCAGGAGAGGAAAAGTTATTCATTTTGGAGATGACAAATGCTCTCTAATCCTGCAGTAAAGAGAAGAGTCAATATCGCAGGCGCTGAATGAACGAGCCTGCTCAGGGCTCTTCCCAGCCAGGCTGAACAGCAAATTGCTTCAGAAATGGTCCTGGAGAGTGGCATTTCAAATAAATTTCAGCAGACAGCACAAACTGCAGCCATTCTGGGGTCAGGGCTTGCTTGTGCTGAGTCCAAGGGAGCCCAAAGCAGAGCTGGGAGGGGAGAGAACGAGTGGGAGCCGCCGGCTCCTCTTCCCAGCCCTTGGTTCTGCTCTCCTGCCTTTGCTTGTGCTCCTGGAGCCATCACAGGCTCCTCTCGTGTGGGTCAGGGCCATCAGCACATCCTCACCACGGAAAGGTCGAGTGGCTCGGGTTTGGAATGGGAAAGAAGGAAGGGGAGCAGGCGGGGTGATCTGGGCTGAGACAGAGGATGCTGCGACCAACCCCCGAGTGATTCTGCTGGCAGCCTGGGCTGGCCTCTCCGAGCAGGATGGGAGCTGTCAGATGTTAAATCAAGATAATAATCTGTCTGCCCGGAGCTCTGAGCAGGCCTGGCTGCTTGTGCAGCTCCCTCCCAGCACAGCTGGGTCCCCGCGCTTGCCAGAACACACCAGTAACTTCCCCCAGGATCCACAAAAAGGGGAATCGTGCCCAAAACGCACAACAAGACACCCGACACCCTGCAACCAGTGCCGGGCTCTCCTGGGAAGCTGAACGACCCCAGAGCAAGCAGGTTAGTCTGCAAGCACAGAGTCCTGCCTGCCCCCCGTGCCTGGCATGCAGGCTGCTCCCAGAGCCAGGGCAGCATCCCGGCTGCAGGGCTGGCAATCCCTCAGGAGCCTGTCCCAGCCTGCTGCCTCACTCCAGAGGGGTGACAGCTGACACTCCTGTGTCCCTCCCGCTGGCAGCAGTGGGGTGAGGCCAGGGCTTGGCAAGGCTCACCCACTGCCTCCTGCCTCTGCTGAGGATGAGCCACCCTCGCTCCACAGGCAGGCTCTGCTCCCACATGGCAGCACCGAGGCTCGGGCTGGCACCAGGCTCAGGGCTAGTGACTCTAACCCAGCCCGAGGTGCCCAGCTGAGCAGTGCCCGAGTGCTCTGCCGTCCAAAAGCACTCCCTGACTGCCATTCTCCCAGCAGGAAAAACGGGTGGTGAGGTTTTTCATCTGAGGATGCCGCTGGGTGCCACGGACAGGGTCCCAGGCTGCCAGGCAGGGCAGCAGCTCGGCAGCCTCTGGATTCCCACTGCCACCAACTCCTGCGGCAGCGGCGCTGCCCACGGCCACGCTGTGATCCCTGCCACGCTGTGATCCTGCCGTGCAGCCGCCCCCTTCCACAGCAGGAACAGGCACTGCTGCCTCTCCAGCTGGCAGCTGGATCCTGCCAGCTGCCAGCCAAACCTCTGGCCACAGGGAGAGCTGCCGGCCGCAGGGACGGAGCGAGACGGGCAGCGGGCACAACCTGGGGCACGCTGGTATTTAGAAATCCTTGCTCTGCTCTGAGGACAAGCCTCCCTCGGCAAGCAGCGAGGGATTTGATGCAAGAAAAACAAACCATCTTTCTTTTAAACGCCACGTCTGTGCTTTCAGAGCCACGGGCTCTGTGTGCTGCTCGCTGGGAGAGCGCAGCAGGGGCACCGGGCTCCCCCAGCACGGAGGCCACCTGCATCCTGCCTAAAAACTCCTGGGAGGCACGTGAAATGCTTTAAAATCCACAACTAAGCTGTGAGGAGGCACCAAGGGATCCGACAGTTGCGTGCAGCATCAGTTCCTGAGCACTGAGGGCTGTTTTCCAGCCCCGAGTGGCGATACCGCCTCTTCTGGAGCACCACAGATTATTCCAGCGCCAGCTGATGGCATCTGGATTGCAGGTGGAGTTTAGGAAAGCTCCATCCCCTGCTCCCTGTGTCCAAGTGTGACCCCGGGGGAGGTGGATGGAGAGCAGGGGGGACACGTTCAGGGAGCAGACCCACGCCTGGCTCTGGCTCCCGGGGTGCTCAAGATGGAGCCTTGTTTTTTCCGGAGCCGTGCCCTGCGCAGTCACAGCTGACAGGAGGGACACAATCTCTTCCCTGTTAGCAGAACAAAACACAGGGACCTGGTGTGTTTGCTCGTGTGTGACCCTGCCGGGCCCGGGGCTGTGCCTGCTGCTCGTGGGGCTCTGCCCCAGCCCACCCCAGAGCCCGTGAAATTGAAGGCAGCTGCGAATTCGCTGCGACGTGTCCTGGAAACGGTCCGGTGCCTCCGTGCTGGCCTCACCCGGGCCTTTTCCAGGGGCAGTGCCAACTGCTGCATGCTCTCAGCTGCCTGGCTTCCCAGGGGGGCTCAAAGATGAACCTGATGGTGGCACATTCCCCTCCGGAGGCACTCCCGGCGGGCAGGGGCTGCCCACGCCTTGCCCAGGCTGCCCGAGGCCGGGCAGGGGCTGGCTGGGCACGGCGGGGAGCACAGGGATGTGCCCGCAGCAGCTGTGAGGAATGAGGTCAGCTCTGAGCACACCCGTGGGGTTGTGTCGGGTGACGGGCAGAGAGGCTCATTTTAATCAGTTTGGGGGAGATGGAGTTTATTTACACGTGGGGCTTCCTCCCCTGTGAGCAGCACCCCTCGGCTCCCTGGAGGAGCTCTGGCTGCTCCAGGCTGGGGGGAATTCTCTTTCCCAGGGATGCTGTGCAAATCCACATTTCCTCCTGGCCCTAAAGGGAGGGACCTGCAGACCCCCCACACTGCAGGGTGGGATGGTGAAAATAAATGAGAATTAATTCTCATTGGCCTGGGAATCCTGACCCATCTGGCCTAGGGGTGACTGTGGCAGCACCTGTTGATCCTTCCTGCTGGGAACCCCAAACCTGCCTGATTATGATAATTTTATACTATTTTTAAAGCAGGGGAGTAGCTGTGAGAGCTGAGCCCACGCACTGCCTGCACCACAGGTGCCCCAGGAAGGGTGGGCAGTGCCTTTGCCTCCCAGTTCCTGGCTTTATTCCCAAGCATCCAGAGAGCTGGGGCTCCTGTTCAGAGATTCCTCAGCTATTTCCAAATGCCAGAGCCCTCTCTGCACATCATGGCTGCTCAGAGTGTCCTTTCTGAAGGGATAAATGGGTGTGTGTGTGCTGTGCACCTGGAGAGGAGGGGCTGGGAGAAGCTCCCGTGCCTGGTTTGAGGTGTTACCCCTCCCATCCAGGGAAAACCACCCTGGAAGGAAAGTCCTGCAGCGGTGGCAGGAAGCCTGGAAGGCTTCTCTGGTGAACAGCCTGTAGGAGATGGCTCTGGTGGGGTCAGCACATGGTGCTCCCAGGCCCCACTGCCCTGCCCAGGTGCCTTTTCCCCACTCCTCATTCCCAGCCTTTTCCTGCATGCCCAGGCGTGCAGGTGGCTGGTTCCATGGGACAAAGCTGGTTCTGGCTCCCAGAGCAGAGACCTGAGACTTTTTTGGTGGTGGCTCTGCATCCCTTTCCTCTTTCCCGTGGAGCCTGGCTCAGGCAGATTTCCCCCCACACCCTGTACGTTTCTAGCACTGGAGCAGCATGAGCTCTCCGGCTTTCCAGCTCTGAGATTCCAGCTGGGATCAGGTTTTGAATTAAGCCATGCAAATTTCCATCTTGCCCTGACCAACGAGGAAGCAGTGCCAGAGCCCAGAGCAGACCCCGCAGCGAGGACTCGGATGAAATCCCCGGGATTTCACCTTGTTCCTGGAGGAAACCGGGATGTCTGTGTCCCTGTCCAGGACCCAGGCGAGCCCTCAGGGGCAGGAAGGACAGGCAGAGCTGCACGTTCACACCTTCCAGGCACAAATTGATTAAAACCCGCTGCATTACTGCTCCCCTGACGTTCACCAGGGTCACGTCAGCCAAGTCGTGGCATCAGATCTCTCTGCCAGCGGGGAACAGCACGTGTCCCCCAAATTAGGGATCCTTCCTTCTCATTCCTTGGGAACCAGAGTGCCACAGAGCCTGTCCCAACCACCGGGAACACAGCAAACACCAAGGTTTACGGCGAGGCCTGGGGGAGGAATCCACTCCCTGCCAGAGAAGGGCAGCTGAGCCGGTGTATCATAAGGGAAAACAGTGTTTTGTCAGTGCTAATCCTCCACCATTCCTGAGGCAGGGGCATTAGGGATAAACTGAACTTGCAACATGATATTAAGGCATCTGCCAACACTCAAACCTCCAGAATAAAAGGCTCATTTGCTGCCCAGTCAAACAGGTTATAATCCTGCCCCATCTCCCTACAGCCAAATGCCACTCATTGATTACCGGTGTTGCTCAAAGCAGCTGCTCCGGAGCTGAGTCAAGGGCCGTGCATGCAGCCGGGCTGGATGTGAGGCCGGGCAGCTGCAGGCACCCAGCGGGGCTTGGGGACACCGGGGTGCCCTGGGAGAGGGGGTGTGGAGGGCAGGAGCCAGGGATGGGAGCCAGGGCAGGAGTGCAAGGGCAGGATCTAGGGATGGAAGAGAGGGCAGGAGCCAGGGATGGGAGCTCCACTCCAGCACGCTGATGGGCAGGAGCCAGGGATGGATGCTCAGGGCAGGAGTGCAAGGGCAGGATCTAGGGATGGAAGAGAGGGCAGGAGCCAGGGACTGAAGAGAGGGCAGGAGCCAGGGACTGGAGAGAGGGCAGGAGCCAGGGATGGGTGTCCACAGCAGGGGTGCAAGAGCAGGATCCAGGGATGGAAGAGAGGGCAAGAGCCAGGGATGGATGACCAGAGCAGGAGTGCAAGGACAGGAGTCAGGGATGGGAGCGAGGGCAGGAGCCAGGGATGGGTGTCCACAGCAGGGGTGCAAGAGCAGGGTCCAGGGATGATGCTGAGCTGGGGGTGCCGCGGGCAGCAGCCAGAGGCGGGTGCGGAGCCAGGATGCAGGGATGGAGCCCTGCTCCAGCACAGCCCGTGCTGGGGCTGGCTCCACGTCGAGCAACCCCCGGAGCCGTGCCCGCGGCTGCCCCGGTGCAGCTCGGAGGTGCCCCCCGCTCTCCCGCCGGGCTCAGCCGGGCTCTGAGCAGCGCCCACCGCGTTCTTTGCCGCGTCCCGCTCCGTGGGGCTCCCCGGCCGCCCCGTCCCGCCGCAGCGGGGCCGCTGTCCCGCGGCACAGCCCCGGGACCCTGAGCCCGCCGCGGATCGGAATCTCCCCGCGTCCCGTCCCGTCCGCCGGGGGCCCCTCCGGAGGCACCGTAAGCGAGCGGGGCGGGCTGGGGACAGCGAACACAGCGGGAAACGGCGGGGCCCCCCAGCCCGAGCGCCCCGGCTCCCCCCGCCCGGCCCTGCCCGTCCCTACCATGGCTCCCGGGCGGCGGCTCCGCGCTCCCTCGCGGCCGTGGCGGCGGCGGGCCGGGACTTTTATCGTGCTCGGCCGGCTCCGTCTCGGCGGTGCCACCTGACCGCGGCTGCCGGGGCCGCCCCCGCCCGCAGAGCCGCCGTTACCAGGCTACGGGGGGCGGCCCGGCCCGGCCCCCGGGCGGGGGCTCCGGGAGACCGGCCCCGCTTAAAGGCGCCGCCGCCGCCGGGCCCGCGGGGCCTGTGGGAGCGGGAGCCGCTGTGGGGGCGGCGCGGCCCTGTGGGGACGGGAACAGGGGGCTCCCGGGGGGGACATGGCAGGGTCGCTGTGGGGAAGGGGACGGCTGAGTGTCACTGTGGAGAAAACGCGGGGTCCCTGTGGGGAAGGGGAAAAGTGGGGTGTCCGTCCTGTGGGACACATTGGGGTCCCGGTGGGGATGTGACTCCTCTGTGTGGGGATGTGACTCTGTGTGGAGACGAGTGGGGGTCCCTGTGGGGATGGAAACAAGTGAGGGTTTCGGTGGGGACATGATGGGGTCAATGTGGGGATGGAGACAGTGGGGATCCCAGTGGGGACATGACGGGGTCACTGTGGGGATGGGATGTGTTGAAGTCAGTGAAGGGCCATGGCAGGGAGAGGTGGTCGCTGTGGGCACAGGGATGTGGCAGGGTCCCAGTGGGGATGGGACAGCGTGTGGGGATGTGGCAGGGTCCAGGACATCCCTTGTTAGGGATAGGACATGCCAGGTCCCTGTGGGGACCCTGCCAGTGTGTGTGGGGACAAGGTGGAGTGCCTTTGGGGATGGGGATGGGGATGTGCCAGAGTGCCTCGGCTCGATGGGTGCTCACTGGGGAGGGGTCCAGCCCTGAAAAAGAGAGAAGAACCTGGTTTTTGGGACTCAGGACATGCCAAGCCACAGCTCCTCCCCATGCTGGGAGCACACTGAAGGAATGTCAGGTGGTCCTGAGGCTCTCGGGGCTTCTTGTGGCACCCTCCTGGGGCTGGACCCTGGCCCAGGGCAGGGTGGGCTCAGCTGGAGAGCTGGCATGGGCTGGGATCCCCAAGGAGGGTCGGGGATCCCCAAGGAGGGTCGGGGATCCCCAGGGAGGGATGCCGTGGGTTAGGGGATCCACACAGCAAAGGGGACAGAGAGTTTTTCTTCGGCTGCAAACTGTAGGATTGAGGTGAGGGCTCTGCTCCCACTGCCTCCCCACCATGGCAGGGACACGGGACAAGGCTGGCACTGGCAGAGGAGGAGGAGGAGGAGGAGGAGGAGGGCAGCCTCTGCCTTAACCCCGCGGCTGCTGGAGCGAAGCGTGGCCACCCCAGCCCGCTTTTGTTCGCTTTCTGGTTTTGTTGTCGCACGCTCCGACTGAAATAGCCCAAATCCCTCATAGGAAGCTTCCCCCAGCCCGAGCCCTCGGCTGGTATCTCGCTCGGGCAGGTTTCATGACTCAGCAGCCCAGATGGAGCCGTCCCTCACAGCCCTCAGCTCCAAATCTGTTTATTGCTCCAGAGGCTGTTTTTCCAAGAACCTCGCTGCTTTATAGCAGCCAGAGCTCTCCCTTAAAACCCTGCCTCTCCAGCGAGGGCTCGCGTCACACTCCGCGCGGAGGTGGGCGAGGAACAAAAATAGACAAATTAAGAAAACCTCAAAAGGCCAAAAAAAAAAAAAAAAAAAAAAAAAATGGGGGGGTTTTGTGAGGGTTTTGGCTCTCCAAGCTCAAGGTTTGCTTTGCCTCCGTGTTGCATCAGTTCTGCTGCCTTCCTTGGAGCTGCACCATCTCAGGGGCTGAGACGGATCCCCGGGTGATCACCGGGTGATCGCAGGTCTGCGAGAAGCTGAGAGACTGCTGAGCCCCCGGGGTGTCCCCCTGGAGCTGGGCTCCCCGGGCCGGGGCTCGGAGCCCTGGCAGTGCCAGCCTGGGGTGGTGTTTATTGGCCACGGGCAGCGTAGGGAGAGACGAGGATGGGTTTTTGGGTTTTTGAGTGGCAGCCTGTGGGATTCCCTGCGCAAGCATCTAAACCCCTCATTCCCCCTCACCACCTCTGAATGAGGAAAAGGCTCTTGCACAGCTCCACTTGCTCATCCTGGGCAGTTTTTAACTCTTCACACAACTGCAAAGATGTTTCTAATGCTGGCGCAACTCGTGCTTTTGACCTGCACCCTGCCAGGAGCTTTATGTGTGTTTGGTGTGGGACAGGGGATGCAAAGAGGGAGACCTGGGAGGCCTTTAACCGGGGACACAGCAGGGAACAAAGCTAAAAGCAGAATGTCAGCTCCTTCCCACACTCAGCCCTGGCCAGGGGTTCACTCACAGGAGCTGGGGAACTTGGTGGGTGGCTGGGGGCTGCTGTCCTGCCAAGCCCCCTCCTGCCAAGAGGGAAATACACCCTGTTTTGTCCAGGATGGATGTTTGAGGGGCCGGTGGGACAGTGAGGGTTTGCTCCTGAGCACAGGGGAGGTGTCAGGCACTGGGTGCTTTCTGGGACAGCTGCTGACATGCCATGGGGGGGACAGCAGGGCCTCTGTGGGACCCCCAGCCCTGGGAAGGCAGCCTGGGCTCCCCAGGGGTTGTGGGGAGCAGCAGCTCTCCTCTAAGGCTGACATCGTGTTGTGGACAGGTTTTCCCCCTTCCCATAGGAACTGTGCATCTCTTGGAAAAGTTCTGAAGACTTCCAGGGACAAGATGCTCGACGTGGTGACTGATGACACGGCACGGTGCCTTTGGGGGTGATGGCTTTGGAAGGTCAGGACACGGACTGTGGTCCTGTTGGGTCAGGATGTTCTGTGACTCCTGTGAGCCCACCTTGCCCAGCCCAGCCTGGCAGATGCCGCTGGCTGTGCTGGGGTGAGCACAGCGCGGTGGGTCCCGGGCACATTCCCGAAGGGTGCGCCTGACCACGGGCCATTAGCTGGTCATTAGGGCTATTATCTTAATCACGGGTGTTCCCCTGCTCTGTGCAGGCTGTGCTCAGGGTCACGAAGGCCTGCTGAGAGGGGAGCAGGCTGCCTTCCATCCATCCATCCATCCATCCATCCATCCATCCATCCATCCATCCCTCCATCCATCCTCTCCAGTTTCCATGGCTACACCACAGTTTACTCTTCCCTGCCTTCAACCTGAACCTGAGTGATGTAGACAAAGTTCCTTGTGTGAGGCAAAAAGCCCAGGGACTGGGACCTCCTGGTTTTGGGACAACATCTGCATCCAGGGTGGTCAGAGCGTGGAGCAATAGCACTGAGCCCCCGGCAGCACCCCCAGCCCAGCCAGAGGGAGCTTTGGAGGGGCTGCTTTGGGGTCCTGCCTTCCCCTCCTCGCCTCCCTGACAGCAGCAGGGACACAGAAGAGGCAGTGAATGCTCCTGTGGGGACAAATGCCAGCAGGGGCCATCGGCTGCCTGGCGCTCGATGCGAGGTGACAGCCGGAGCAGGCGCTGGGCTGCGGCTCCGTGATGGGCGAGAACAAACCCGGGCTTGGGTCACCACGTGGGGCTTCGCTGGCCCAATGTGGGTCAGCAGAGGCCTCGCTGAGGAGGCAGGGATGTCACAGCTCCGCAGGGATGTCACAGCTCCGCAGGGATGTCACAGCTCCGCAGGGATGTCAAGCATGGCAGGGTTTTGTTGGCTTTCCAGCAGCACAAGGAGCAGAAGGGGAGCGTGTTCCAATCCAAGCTCCCTGGGCAGGAGGATTTTGGCTGAAGGGCTCCCAGGATGTGGCCATGAGGGTGTGTCACCCTTCCCAAATCCACGGGGTGCTCTGATCTGCAAGGCCAGTGGATGAAATGGGCAGTGTTTCCACAACCTGGGTGTGTTGGGCTGTGGGGAGCCACACGTGTGCCACAAGCTTGGTCACCACCGGGGCAATCCCTGTGCCCTGCCCTGCGTGCCAGGATCCCTGCCTGCCCCTGGCCACCCAGGTGCCTCATGGAGGAAAGTGCTGTCCCCCAAGGCCAGTTTTCCCACCATGGGCTATGGGTGACCGTGGGCTCTAGAGGGTCAGGAGGAGTAGCTCTGCTGCCATTTGTGTTTGTTATATTTGGGGTGCCCTTATTGCATTGCCTGGTCCCCCCTAGGCAGAGGGATGCAGGGATGCTGTGTGGTGCAGGGACCCCACGGCGTGGGCTGTGTTTTGGCAGGTCCCTCAGTGACACGCCACGCACAGAGAGGTGCCAGGGTGCTGGTTTGTCTCGGGAGGGTGGGGTGAGTTTCATGTGGTGCTCACCTGCTGAGTCAGGGGCTGAGCAGCCACGTGAGCCAGGGCTGTGGCCCGTGTGCCTCCAGGATGCTCCCTGTCCTGTCCTGACCCCCCTGCACAGCCCAGGGCTGGGCTCTGTGGCCAGGCCGGGAGCAGGGGCACTGACATGGGCTGGCAGCTCAGCCTCCCCAGGGTGCTCACTGCTCCCTCCCCATCGCAGCCTGCACAGCACCACCTGCCTCCTGGGCAGCTGAGCTGGGGGCTGGCCCGTCCCAGGGACCCCAGACATCCCCTGGGAGCTGCTCTGGCAGTGCCTGCCCCTCCGGCACTGCATGAGGTGCTCTGAGCTCCCATCCGTTCCCATTTCACTGCTGGCGCCTGGTTCATAAAACATTGACTTTCCAGACAGGCTTTGCAAAAGAAATGAGATGTTGGTGATTGTATGGAGAGCTCAGGAGATTCCAGGGTGCATTCCCTGGAGCAAAGGGTGCTCACAATCCTTGCCTGTGGCCACGGAGGACCTGTGGTGGGGCAGGCATTGCCCAACAGCTCCCACTCCCTGAGACCCAAAATACTGGACACCTGTGTACTCTGAGCTGCTTCTTGACCCCATCTCTGTGCTCCCCATGCTCTTCCTCCTCCTTGCTGGGTTCCACATGGTCCCGACCCAGCTCTGCCAGGTGTGACAGCACACAGCTGGGATGTGTGGCCAGGCTGTGGTTCCCCTGTGGAAGCAGCCAGGTGGGAAGAGGTCCAGTGGGCTGGGGGCTGCAGGAATTTGTGTGCCTGGTGCTGCTGATGGGCTCAGTCCCAGCGCTGTCCATTGGCTCCAGCCACAGGGAGGGCTGTGGGAAGGTGCTTTGTCTGTGCCACTGCGTGTGCTTTCTCCAGTCACTAATAAATCCATGCTGGCTTTTCCTGGAAGGTCACCC